GCAAGACATCATTATCAGCATCACCTCTAACGACAATACCATCTTTCTCCTCGTCTAAAATCTTCCAATCGACTCCTCGTGTAGCAAACCTAAAGACGAACCTGGGTGTGACATCAACGTACGCAACGGAGACGAGAGCTGTGCTACATTAATTATATCAGTGAAAATCAATTACTTAGCTAAATGATCGTGAAATACTGTCACTATAAAGGGGAACCCAGTACAGAATCATCAGTTATGCTAGGTACCAGCCATTACTTTAATAGGACTGCTTTCGCTTACCTATGAAATAATTATGCCATCTGTAATGACTTTACATACATATTCACATAATACCGTGGATGAAGAAAGAAACTTCAAACATACAACATCATCTAAAGAAGGAAACAGGCTCATAAACAGGAAATTGAAAATATTTCCTTCACTCAGACGACATAGAGATTTAATAAGAACAATTACTGAAGGCACAGTTTTGAGAAGCATTGGTCGACAGCACAAAGACAGAGAGGACAATAAAAGAGAACAATAAAAGAGGACAATAAAAGAGGACAATAAAAGAGGACAATAAAAGACGCCCTGTTTGAGATTCATATTTATAGCAAAAATAGGGGTATACAAAAGACTGACTAGCTGACTTTCTACCCCACCAGGACATCACACAAGCAATAAACACCCGATGACACGATGTGCTACCATGAGGATCACTGTGGAGAGGTCCCAGAAACCGCGTTCAGCCATTAGGCCATATTTATGGCCAGGCTATATTGTGACCCCTGGCATGAGCCAGAGTAGGGTTTCAAATAACGAAAAATTGCATCCTAAAAAGGACGGCAAGATATTTTATATATATATATATATATATATATATATATATATATATATATATATATATATATATATATATATATATATATATATATATATATATACAAAAGAGTCTTGCGTAGCTCTTATGGCAGTTGAAAAACCGTTTGTGGCAACTTGAACTAATAAACCATTTTGTCCAACCAAAATGAGAAATGCAGAATTGGTCAAGGGATTACACATACAATAGTAACATTAAAATGTTGCACTGTCTGGGAAGATCTCTTTAAAAAAAAAGATTTAGGAGAGAGGGATTAATATAAAGAAAAGCAGCCTGCGTTTTTATCGTTGGCATTGTTATCTTCCGTGGAGCTTTATCATGGTAGGGGGCGTCGTAGGTCGACCCAGCCCAAAATGTGTACCAGGATGTATGTCCTGGGGAAGTAAAGACGGCCTGCGTAATGCTAACCACATTACCCACCTAGTGCTGATTGGTCTGTAAAAATATGGGTGTTCTTCCCATATGCCCGATGCGCCTAAATGCGTGAAAAGGGATCTCTACTTTTTGCTTACTTACTGTTATGTCTGGTGAAAAGAAACTCATAAAAATTTGCTACAATACTAGAAGAAGCAGGTAGAACGAATATTACTAGCAAGATTGTTATACTCTTAATAATACAGAAGCCAAATGCAAACAAAGCAATTAATCGGATACTTCGTCTTTAACAAGAGTTGACTTTAACGGTTTTCTAACACTGTCTGTCCCCTTTATTCATGCACTCTCAGATTACCACTAGTCTAACTAAACCCATTCTCCCACTGATATGATTGTCTTTCTCCTGCTGTCAACATTTTCTGTCACTATGGACTTTTATAATAGTGTTAAATAACCGTATACAATGTTGGTCAAGCACGTGCAATGTCTATTACGCCACCTCATTCCAACACCGATGCTCAAAGCCCCTTCCTTGAAATGTCTAAAGTTCCTGTTGCAATGTATAAAGTTCTTACCTTGATATATCTCAGGTTTCTACGTTGAAGTGTCTACAACTATTGCCCTGAAATATCTAAAGTCACTACCTTTAAATATTTACATTGCATACCTTGATATGTCTACAGTTCCTACCTTAAAATGTCTACACGGGTTGCCTGGATCGTTCGACAAGGCACTCGAAGATTGAACAGATCCGCTTGTCTCACGACCGTAGCAAGGGTCTTAGGGAAGGAGAACAGGATCTGTGTTAACTTTAAATATGGAAAATGTGCAGATGAAACCTCAAAAGACAATACAAATTTTTTGTAAACACAAACATGCTATTACTTGAGAATGCTTGGAGTCAGTAATCAGTGTCTTATAAATGATAACAAGATGCAAAGCTATTTTTTTCTTTTCTTTTGTCAACATCTGCTTGAGTCGCTAAGCGTCACAGTTGATCAGTCAATCGGCAGCCGAGCCAGGACGCCCTAAGTTGCTTGATATGCCATAATGTTATGCAGTCTAAAGGTGTCAGAGACACCTTCAATCCATCTTCTTCTCGGTCTTCCCCTGCCTCTTGATGTTTCGATTTTCAGGTTGCACGCTCTTGCTGATGGCATCGTTGGCTTCTTTCTCATTAGATGGCCAAACCATTTCATTCTTTGTTTCTCAATCTAAAGCTTATATACACAGATCAAATACATAACTGTCAATTCTCATTAGTCATTCCTTGAGAAGAGCTGTGAATTAAAGGGGGCAGAAGTGCTGCAAGTGGCCGGTAGTCAGAAGGAGGTGGAAAGAAAAAAAGAGGGAGAGAAAAGAAAAAGGAGAAGAAAAGGAAGTTGACGATGATGATAATAATAAAAATGAGAATGTCGATGATGATGATGACTAGGAGGACAATGAAGAAGAGCTCACGACTTTCATCTGTTGGAAAGAAGACTCGCTGTGTCGAATTTTTCTGAAGCATTTATCGGAATTTAAATAATGCGAATACAAACAATACTTTGCACAATTTATAGCCAGGCATTTTTCACTGTATCTTATCAGGTGTGTTACTACAGAGTTACATCAACATAAAATAAAGCACAAAACTGAATAAATTCAACTGAAATGCGAATAGTTTCTACCAATACATTGTCTCTGTTTCATGGCCGCCGTAAGCGCTCACGTAGTCACGTGACTTACCAGGGGAACTTCAAACTGACGATAAATTCCGTCTGCTTACAAAGGAGGGAGTTGTTTATTTATCGAAATTCTCTTTGGTACCTCGCCTGATACCGTAAAATCACTCGTACCTACACTCGTAAGTTATAAAACCCATTAAATGGTATAATCATCTGAGAGCTGTGAAATACGACACAATACACACATCAAACTATTAATCTAAAGGTGCTAAGGAAATGTGTAAAGCATCGACCATATTTACACTCGTAAGTTATAAAACCCATTAAATGGTATGATCATCTGAGAGCTGTGAAATACGACACAATACACACATCAAACTATAAATCTAAAGGTGCTAAGGAAATGTGTGAAGCATCGACCAAATTTACACTCGTAAGTTATAAAACCCATTAAATGAAATACGACACAATACACACATCAAACTTTAAATCTAAAGGTGCTAAGGAAATGTGTGAAGCATCGACCATATTTACACTCGTAAGTTATAAAACCCATTAAATGGTATGATCATCTGAAAGCTGTGAAATACGACACAATACACACATCAAACTATTAATCTAAAGGTGCTAAGGAAATGTGTAAAGCATCGACCATATTTACACTCGTAAGTTATAAAACCCATTAAATGGTATGATCATCTGAGAGCTGTGAAATACGACACAATACACACATCAAACTATTAATCTAAAGGTGCTAAGGAAATGTGTGAAGCATCGACCATGTTTACCACGATGTAAACGAACATTGGTCAATGTGTAACTACAATATGATCACACACCAGGACAAAATAAAATTGCGGCACACAGGAGCGGATCACTGGAAGAGTCAGCTCTGTAATCTGTGATTCTATAATCAACAGCTGCTGCGTCTGGCACGTTGTTGATCCCTTCGAGACAATTCCTTCTTTCCATGAAGTTCTTGAGAGGTTCCTCTCCTTTCATGGTGTACCAGCACATGTAGTAGGTCGCTGTTGTCTTGAGAAAACAATAAGGCGTGTTATGACCATGTGAAGAAAACAACAAGCGTAAATACGTGAGAAATCACAAGCTGCGCAAACATGTCCAGTTAATGAATAAGCACTAGGAAACGGAATTTTAAAATATGGCATTACGAATAAGGAAAGGTATAATAAATATCATATATGTATACAACTGGGTGGGGGTGAGCTAAGGTGTCCAGATGTAGTTAAGATATTTGAAATAATACGAAAGTCAGACTATGGTTAGTGACATGTTGCCGACATATCAGATGTATTCTTTCTCTCCTTCTTCAGCACTCTGCACCCATGGGGTTCATTGCTGCAGATACCACCCGCCTCCACTCATCTCTCTGGTTGGCCTTTATTTAAGTCTCGATATAGTAAACATACATTAACATAATATCTGTCATGTGGCCAGAGAAAATACAGTTATTCACTTGGAGATAAAACAAATTTAACTTAGAGAACAGGTAAAAATTACCTAGCAACACTGAAAGAAATGATCAAACTGAAAAACAAATATTCAAGAATATACAGTGGTACCTTGATATACTTTTCTTTGGTACACGTTCAACTTGGTGTATATTTTGTTCAGACACGAAGACATTTGCTAACTTTACAAACTTTTTTTTTTTAAATACGACCAGCTTGCTAGAACATGTCAATCTTAGCAGATACTCGACTCGTCTCAGGAAGGTCAAGTGAGGTTCAAAGATCATTTATTTCATCTAATTGTTTTTGTATTTATGTGTTGAAATATGAGGCAGCATATAAATTATTTTACACAACCCCAACAATGTAAAATGTTGCCATTAACAATAGGATTATATTTTCATGGGAACTGAATAATTATTCTCCATTTTTTTCGTTCTCTCCTGTTTTTTCCCCTTTATTATTCATAATATGCATACTATTATATGAAAATAACATGCGTTATTGAAAGAATACAATTGCTGAAAGAAAGGTGGGTGCTTGGAATGGCCGAATGTAAGACGGGCCTGCGTACCCAATTTGTGACGCTTTGAAAATAAAGTTCCTTTGTTCGTTCTTGTGGGGAAATTCGTTTGGTGTACGTATTCTTCAAAGGAACGGATAAAGTACGCATACCGAGGTAAAACTGTAATTCACAAAGTTAAACAGGGATGGAGCCACTATTTCAAGGACAACCAGTTAAGCTGGTAAATCATACTCCCAGTTAATCACGACTATTACATTTGTAAATTATTCATTGCCTAAAATGAGTACTGAAAAAGTCCTAAGAAGTAAATGCAACTGGTGTGATATTAAACCCTTCATCCATCTATGAAAATATGAATCAAGTATCTATATTAGTTACACAACACAAGGCACCTATAGCATAGCACCTGCAAGCAAGCTGGGGTTAATATTTTGAGATCATGTATCTTTTCCATGGCACTTATGGATGTGAGGCATGGACTCTCTGTCTTTAAAGAAGAAAATCTTGTCTTTTGAATGAAAATGCTACCGATAAATTGTTAGAATACCGTGAAACAAGAAGAAGACAAACTCGACATCCCGCATTAACCAAACACCAGGAAAACTGTCGCGTTAACAGCATCTTCTCCCGAAAGCTCAGGTATTTTGGAGATCAATCGTCATGGTAGTTTCCAAATACTCCGAGATGAAGTAGAATAGGACATTAAAACTTGAAAAAAAAAAAAAAAAAAAAATGGAAAAGCTGGCGGAAATTGACAACATCACAGCTGAGATCCTTGAGGCGGGGAGGGGGAGAGTACGTCATCGATATCCTCACTGAAATCTGCAACAAAGTTTGGGAGACTGGTGATTGGCCGTTTGGACTAAATCACTTATCACTACCATACAAACAAAGCGGAATTTACAAGAATGTCAAAATGATAGAACTATAAGTCTCATCTGTCATCCCAGTAAAGTCATGCTCAAGATACTCCTAAAGAGATTAAAACCGCATTCAGAAAGGATCATAGCAGAGGAATAGACGGGTTTCCGTGCTGGAAGAAGCACTGTTGAACAGATATTTAATATACGCATATTATCTTAGCAACATCACCAGCACCAAAAACATCTATACCATGTGTTCATCGATTTCAAAAAAAAAGTCTTTGATAGAGAGCATGCAGCACTCTGGGACACTATGGACAAGTACAAGCCAAGGTCAGTAATGCTGTCAGGCTGAACGGACAAATACGAGAGCTGGTTCCGAATAACAGTAGGAGTCCGTCAGGGCTGCCTCCTCTCTCCAACACTGTTTAACATCTTTTTAGAAAGAATTATGACTGACGCCCTAGAACAACAACATGTAAAGGAAGTCGAACTATAACAAACTTAAGGTTTCTAGATGACATCGATGGGCTGGCCTGGGAAGAACAAGAATTAGTCGGCTTGTAAATCTGCTCCATGGAACATCAACCAAGTATAAGTAAAAAGTAAGTAAAGGACCCTTTTTCACGCCTTTAGGCGTATAGGGCATATAGGGCTAGACCTATAATTTATAGACCAACGGCACACGATGGGTGATGTGGTCAGCATCACGCCGGCTGCCTCTACTTCCCGGGACTGCACCCGGTACCCACTCAAGGCTGGGTCGACCTGGAAGCCAAGTTCATTTTTAAAGAAAAGTCCGGCTCTGCCAAGAAGCGAGCCCACTACCTTCCGATCAGCGGCGCGCGTCTAGCCGCTCTGCCACGGTGACTCCCCTCAACCAAGTATAGCATGGAAATAATCGCGAAAAAAAAAGAATAATGACTAATCCTTCGGCTGGCATAATTCCCCACTCTAGTTATAGGCCACATAAATTTTCTTGGCATATCATACACAGACCACATTACAAACGAAGAGGTTCACAATATAATTATACAGCACATTGGCAACTATGAACCTCTCTTAACTACAGTGAGAAGTCTAAAAATGCAATGGTATGGACATGTAATAAGATCTAACGGCCTCTCAAAAACAATTTAGTAGAGGGAAAGAGGAGAAGAGGCAGACCAAGAAAGACATGTTTACAGAACCTGAATGACTGGACAGCCCTCGGGCATGCAATCACGAAGTCCATCGCTTTTGACCGCCAAAGGCGGAGAGAGCTGATAAGACAGTGAACAGAAACTGGTGACCCAACGACACGTCGTGTTCCGGGATGATGATGAATCGTCATGGCATTTTGAAGAGAACGGCGGCGATGGAGGATGCAGATTCCCCATAGCAAGGAAGAAGCCGACCTCGGCTAATGTGAATACAGGACACTGAAAATGCATTGCCTATGAAAGCAAATAGGGCTGGAGAATTTGATCGATAGAGAGAGAAAGAGAGACTTTTAGGCATGTTGGGAAGAGAGCGACGTTCTGTAAAGAACCTGCTGATTGATAATTATCAAATGCCTGATACGGTTCTTTACTTCTCCCCACCCCCACCCCCCCCCCCCTCCACCATCAATGAACTTTTCTGGACGGATTAAAATCTCGCCAGAGAAGGGATGTGTGACCAGGGTCTCAGTTATAATGACTGTTGTCGAATTCTACAAATGTCCTTCTACGAGACTGTTGGTGAGCCACCGCAATTTCCCACAATGGACGTAGACTATGATTAACGAGCTTGTCCTAAATGGGTGTACTGCTTGCCAACCGCAAAGGAAACAAGTCACACTCACTCCTCCAGTTTCTTTTAAATCTTATAAAAGTAAAACAATGAATCTTTTCCACTCCTTTAGACGTATTAGGTATACAAGGCTAGACCTGTATTTTATAGAACAAAAGGTTTTTGGTAGGTGATGTGGACAGCATCCCGCCGGCCGCCTTTACTTTCTATACTGCACCTGGTACCCATTAAAGGCTGGGTCGACTTGGGAGTCAAAGTGTTTTTTTTTAAATATAAATATCTTTTAATTATGGACAACTCAAACCCAGGAAGTTTTACAACAGCCGCTGCAGTGACAGAAACGGTATTAGCAGCAACAGTGACTATGACATCAACAAAAGTACCAGCAAACATAACAACAGCCATCATTCTTTCCTATAGCGCCCACACAACTGTCTGTCCGTGAACCTCTTCGTCATGTGCTAATCCCATTTTTAACGTATTGTCATGTCCAAGACATCTGTTAGTTATGTTTACCTTCGCACTAAGTTAGTTGCGTATCCTTTACAGGACGTTGCAGAACCAACCCTAACAGCCCCTGGCTGTTGTGTGGTATCTCTAGGCAAGTTACATCCAGTAGTTTGCCATTGCTTCCTGGACGGTCGGCTTTCTTGATACCACTGTCGAAACCAACGTAAGGCGCATTGCCCGCAGCTGGGATCGAACCTGGCATCCCGGCATTACGAAGCGAAGTGTTCGCATCGACTTAGCCACAGAGCCGACACCTTCGCACTGGCGATTCATATAACTTGAACTATGCCTACCATTACTGTTCTTTCTAACACACAGTCTTTCGATGCAGAAGTATTTTAGCTTCCGAGACATGTATTTGAGTCGGAGATTAAAACACCAAAACTAGACTTCTGGTGGTGAAAAATTATGTGGAACAAAATATTTTAAAACTCGTATCATTCTTCTTTAAAAAAAAAAAAAAACTTACTCTCATTTGGAATCTTTCCAGGTCTGTTTTATTAAATATATCTTGCTTGATGCCTGCCAGAAATTCTATACAAGAATATACACTCCTGTCGCAGTTGCTAGAAACTTGCGGGTGTAGTCTCCGTAAACGAGGCATTGGAAAGTGCTTGTAGTAAACCTAAAGACAGTAAAATAATATTTGTAAATTATTTCTCACGGCTGACACCGCGCTGATAATGAGAAAGCTAACGGATATTCAGTTTCTTTGTGCCACTGACGTGATGCATTCTGTCTAATTCAGGTGTATACGGCAGCGTTAGCTTTTCTTGAGATTTGTCTTTCTGAAGGGGTATCAGCCTTTACAGCTAAGAACTCCAGAAATTAGGCATCTATTTATAATGCAGCTATAACTGGGATCTATTTTAAATAAATTTTATTTAAAAATTAACTTGGCTGCCAGGACGACACAACCTTTAGGTGAAGTTCAGATTCTGGGAAGTTAAGGCGAGCGGCGTGATGTTAAACTCATCACCAACAGAGTGCCGATATGTCTATAAACTATAGGTCTAGTCCATGTATACACAATACGCCTCAGGGCGAAGAAAAGGATCAAGGTCAGCATGGGCATACACAGCGCAGAGGAGGGGGAAAATAATACATGAAGACAGCGGCGTTTACCAGACAACCACGTCAAGCATGACAAGGGAAATAATGGAAACAGAGACTTTCCTCCCGATGAATAGATGAATACACCAGTAGACATGCATGGTATCTCTAAGGTTGTCATCACACTCTGAAGTTACTGTCGGGATCAGATTCCTGCGGCCGTAGACACAGAAGTAAGGGAACTGATAGATCAGCATTCAGACCTAGAAGATATCATCATCTACTCAGATTGATCCGTGAAGCGCGGATCAAGGTCAGCATGGGCATACACAGCGCAAAGGAGGGGGGAAATAATACATGAAGGCAGCGGCGCTTACCAGACAACCACGTCAAGCATAACAATGGAAATAGCCGCTGCTTCTAGAATTTTAGCATGGGTATCCGAGCAAACCGTCACACAGGCAGTAATTGTCTCAGATTCAATGAATATGCTTCAGAAGATAGCAACAGGCAATATGCGCTCTGAATGGATAAAAAGCATTCGGAAATCGCACTTAACCTCCGTAACCTGGATCTACACACCGGGTCATGGGGGCGTAAATGGAAATGAGCGAGCGGACCAACTGGCAAGCACTGCACTAATGATTGCGGGCAAAAAGCATGGAAAGAGCAGATATCGTCAACGCTAGTGGTTAATGACGAATCCCTGACACTAACACGATTGCGTGACATGGGAATTAAGCATGGTGAAGCACGACTTTGCCGTCTTCGAGGCCGAGAAAGGAGACAATCTAACCAGCTTCTCATGGGGACAATTAGTAGAAGTACTTTTGAGTGGCTGCTGCTTCGGAGGACTGAGCACGCATGGGTATGCCCAATGTGCAGTGACGTCGATTGTGATAACAAAACATAAAATAACATCTTGTAGGGAGTCGGCAGTCCGAAACCCAATTTCAAGTTGTCTCCTTCGTGCCAAAGAACTGCATGGCTGCTGGGTGAACAGTCGTTAACGATGGCAACAGGTCGTTGTAGGGGCGACGCTTGCTAGTTGATATAATGCCGTAAGTCCCATCCGCAGCTAATAGTGAGGGTACTGCTGGGGTGACCGTTTATTAACCCTCATATAATGCTTTAGGTCAAAATGGACGCTAGGCACAGTCACGTTTTTTAAGCTAGATCTGTAAAATGGATGTGCATGCAGAATTCAAGTTCTGGATCAAGACCTAAGTCCAAGTGTGGGCAAACAACCATAAATTTCCTCAGGAGTTTACAGCCGGTGAACGCTATAAAGCCTATCCCCAGAGTGATCTTTCTGCATAATTTGACATTAGGCTCTGCGCACAGTGAAGCTGGCCATTGGAAAGGCCAGATTTTCTAAGCTTGTTCTGACCAAATGTGAAAAAAATGACACATTATACAATGGCACGAATTCCAAAGAAAAAGACAATAATGTGGCATTTTTTTGGGACTGAAAGAATTAATCTTGTTTTCATTCTTCTTCTCCTTCTTCTTCTGCATTCCGAGCCGTTGAGGTTCATTACTGCAGATATCGCCAGCATCCATTCATCTCAGTGGTTGGCCTTCTCTTTCTAGATGGTGACACCAAGTGTTTATAAGTCTGTCTGGGTATATATTATATCTCCTTCGTATTCTTCGTCTGTCTTATTGTCTGCAATCATCCAGATCCCTTATGTATTTAATTTTTACTTTTCTGTCACCTGCCTCTCTCTAATATGTCACAGGAATAATTGTATACTTACATTTTTTTTTTTCAATTGTCCCAGTCATCGTAATGTAAAAATTTCCAGTTTTTTTTTTTTTTTTGAGTCTGAGTAGGACCAAGAAACAATTTGGAAAGAAAATATAGAGAAATTCTACAAAGTATCAGGTGTCTGTCGGCTCTGTGGCTAAGTCGATGCGAACGCTTTCCAATGCCGGGATGCCGGGCTCGATCCCAGCTGCGCGCCATGCGCCTTGCGTTAGTTTCGACAGTTGTATCAGGGGGCCGAACGTCCAGAAGCCATGGCAAACTACTGGACGCAAATTTGCCTAGGAAAAAAACCACACAACAGCCAGGGGCTGTTGGAGTTGGTTCTGCAACGTCCTGTAAAGAATAATGCAACACACCATCAGGTATCTATGTTAGAGGCGCCCAGAAGCGCCATAACCGTGTACCCATTCTCCCCCCCCCCCCCACCCCATCCCTTTTTTTCACAGGATACATAAATGAAGAAACGAAGGAGACGATAATTAGGTTTCTAGTCGTTCCCATGTGGGATGCAATTTTTAGTTATTTGAAGCCCCACCCTGGCTTTTGCCAGGGGCCCTAAATATAGCCGGGCCATAAATATTGGCCTAATGGCTGAAAGGGGTTTCTGGGACCTCTCCACGGGTGATCCTCATCCGCATGGTGGCTTGAGTGATGTCCTGGTGGGGTGCAACGAGAGAGAGAGAGAGAGAGAGAGAGGGGGGGGGGGGGGAAGAGAAGATAATTTGATGTCGACAGAGGTCTCCGCTAAGTATTAAAAAAAAAACGTGCCTTACTCGTTCATCAAACTTCCACATCACGTCGTTTCCTTTCCTCTTGTCTACTTCAAAGTACTTGTGACCTGCTAGCAACAAAGCAACCGTTCTGGTATTTGTTGCCAAAGGGCTCATGTTTTCCCATCCTGTCGTAGCAAATATAAAAAAAAGAGGGGGGGGGGGAGAGAGAATTGTCCAATATTATGTATGTTAGAATATTAGAAAATCGAACTGAGTCTGGTACTATGGATATACGGTAAAATATGTCATTTTTCATGGAAAAAACAATAATTAAAAAAATTTAGAGTTTCTGATGAGACAAGGAATGAAAAGAGAGTAGTAAAATAATTTAAACAAGAGAGTGGGGAAATGGTGATTTAAGCGTACTGGAGGCAAAAGTCGATGGCAGGCGAGAGAAAGACATGTATCAAATCGAGCGTTTCGTTGTTATCCTTGAATACCGAAGATTGTGGCCCAGTCGTAAAATAATTTTTTTTTTTTTAGTTGTGTCGTCTTCACCGTGGAGGTTGGCTGCAATATATTCACTACTGCTTGAGCTTTACGTGGCGAGGCCTTCGATCACTTCTACGGTGCAACTCTCGCACAGCTGTAAAATAGATAGTGAAAATAAAAATCCTATGCCGTCTCTACAATGAAGGGTGGCTACAGTGTCCATGGAAGAAGCTGCAGTATCGTAGCAGTGAGAAGTTGGCTCGTTGGCTCGCAGATCTTTAGTTCCAATCTGCAGTGAAAGAATATGAGATAAACAAATGACCTTAGCTCCCATGACGACACAGACTAAGCTGAGTACCTCACGTGACCCCTGCGCCACCGGGTGAAAGAGGGCTGTTTCTTTTCCTATTTTAACCGATA